AAGTGATTTGCTTGTTCTTGTGCCTTGATCTTATCTTATGCTGCTTTCATGTAAAGCATCATTTAACTTCACTCAGCTGTACTTTAAAAATGCATATGTAGAAAAAGTGTAGAAAATGTGAGTGCAGAAAGACCAGCCTCAGAGGATGTACCAAACATCTGACTGGCTGACTGACTCTGAATGTTGATCAGTGTGAAGAAGCCTGATGTTTTAGATCCGCTCCTCTGCAGTTTTCTCAGCTTGCTTGTTTTGGGTGGCATCTTAGAGCCTCTAACTCCAGAATGTGAGTAAACACATGCAAAACCTTAAAGAGCAGCGTTTTCTAGCATGAGGCATCTCTGTCAAGGTGAGAGGGAGGAAAGAGAAGGTTGTCCCACTCCCTGGTGGGGAATGGGAAGGTGGCTCTTGCAGGAGCCTGCCCCTCATCCTGATGCCCGTCTCCCACTCTACAGGAACCAAATCCAAAACACAGAGCAGCAGCACAAGGCTGTTCTCAATGTGCCATGGCCCTTGCAGGCGCTTGGGTCACCCTTATCTTTCATACAAGGTTTTATGGTAAGTCATCTTCAGTCCCCTTTTCAAGAAGTGCTCCCTTCCCTAAGCATTGCTCTCGCCACATAAGCAGCCTTGCTCCAGAGTACGCTCTTGTCACAAGGCTAAAATGGAATGGATGGAGTGATATCTCCATTCCCCTGTGGGTCTACATTACAAATATGTCACTGAACACCCCAGGAATGAGACAAATAACAGCAGGTCCTACATGGACCAGATTCCCTTTCTTTGAAGCAAAATTCTGGCCTGATCCTCATCGTTGCTCTACCTTGTGGTTAAAAATACCTGACCTTGTGAAACTTCACAGCTCTCTCTGGGCAGCCAGCCCCTGCCTGTCCAGTGAAACACCCGTGGAGGTCTGCTGAGGGCCAGGCGGTTCTGCCTGTCTCCACGTGCATCTGCCCTTGATCTGATATCCCCCTGATACTGGCTCCTCCTATTTTTAATCTTCTCCCACAGCTTGATAACCTACTTGTTATGCACCTACACGGACACATGCACTAGGCTGCCGGGGAGGATGAGGGCGGGGGCTGCTGTGGGTGGATGTGGATGTCGGGACGTGCTCACCACCACCCCCTGGCCAGCAGCTGCGGCGCCGCGCTCGGGGGTTCCTCCCGCAACCTCCTCCCGTAGCGCGGGCTGCTGCTCTCCATCTCCAGCCGTGGATGGGCTTTGCCCTCCTCGGGAACACTGGAAGGAATGCTCTGTAGTGCCGACACATCTCCCCGGCTCTGCTGTTTATCGGGGCGGCGGGAAAACACGCTGCCGGAATATTGAGCATTTAGTAAGTCAATAAGTGATCAAATAAATCAGCGTTTCCCCCACGAAAGACAAGCGGGAAGCCGAGCGGCGCTGCTCCTCGCTCCGCTGCCCGCGGTGGTGTAAGAAAACCGTGCGTGAACGGGAAGCTCGGGGTTTCCCCGGCGCTCAGCCGTGCAGGTCGGGACTGCGGCGCCCGCCCGGTCGGGGGTGCCGCCGCCGCCGCCGCCCT